CTCCTTCTCCCTCGCCTAACCTGCCTTGTCTCCTCACGCTGTCTTCTCGTATCAGCCTTTTGGAGTTGCAGTTGCTCCTCCTCCTCCTCCTAGAGTTGTAGGCGATCGCGCGCCTCCTTCACCTTCCTTGGAGACCAGAATACAGCTCCACCATGATACTCCTCAGCCTCCTGTAGGGGTAGAGGCTTACCTCGTTTCCTACGTGTTCTCTCATTAACTAGAGCCTCTCTCAGCTTCCTTACTTCATCCTTAAAGAGACTGTTTTGAACCGAACTCGAGTGAAGGACCTAGCTAAGCTTTTTAGCCTGCCTATCGCCCTAATTAGCGACTACCTAACGCAGCAGACGCTCCATCTTCCTCCAATCAGAGGCACTAAGAGCTAAGGAGTCACTATCCGTCGCAGGATCAGGTATAGTAAAGCGCTAAAGGATAACTTCTAGGTTAAGAGGCGAGATCCCTGTAGCCTTAAAGGCGTTTAGGATCGTCGTTTCCTTAAAGGAGGCCTACCAGGCAGCCTAGAAGAGAGGTAAGAAATCCCTCTTACTCATTAAAGTAAGGCCTTAGCTCCTATCCATAAAGGCAGAAACTTCGTTTAAGTACGCTGTTGAGAGAGGCTTAAACATGCTAACGTTAAGAGGCTGCAGCGTGTGGGTTAAGTGAGGAGGATATACTGCGAGGAGGATCTTATGCTTATCACAATACTTAATAAAATCCATTATAACGTGAGATCCATGGCCGTCAAGGACGAGTAATCAATAGGAGGATTGAGCCTTCGCCTTCGTACTACGATCAAACACCTGCTGCAGCCACGCGAGGCCTATCTCATTGTTCGTCCATCCAGAAGGTGATGAAGATATTCGAATTTGGTGGATGTCTGGATCAAGGGCCTGCAGCCAGGTGTCCTGTATCGATCCTGAGGCTGATTGATATATGAGGGCAGGCTCAAGGCAAGATCCATCTGCGCAGATACAGGCTAACAGCGTTATCTACTGGCGTGAGCCATCCTGTATCGTAGTCCTCCTCCTTATGCCCTCGTACGAGGCCTTACTAAAGATCCTCCTTGAACGACTTACAATACTAAGCATGAAGCCCTTCTTATCTATATTGTAGATATGACGCGCCTTAACGTGATATTAATTAATTTTATCGCGTAGGAGGCTAAAGTAGAGGTTGTATTTGCTTCTTGAATCTGCTTTGTGGCGACAGTTATCAAGGCCTTTTGCCCACCTTGAGGTAAGTTAATCAGGATAGCGCTAGACGAAGCGACTAGCCCAGTGTACTCTAACCTCAGTCTTGGCGATCTGTGAGGCAAAATTGCGTATCATTGGCTGAGTAGGTGGTAAGCCTCTATTTGTTAGTCGATTAATATAGGCGATTAGGGCCTGCTCCTGCTGTAGGTGGAGGAGCTGCTGTTTTTGGCCACCTATCGCGCGTGAGGCGTGTAGGCCTTAGTGTCTTTAGGTAAGCGTAGATCGAACAACACCATATTTTTTTGCAATATCTGTATACGAAAAAGGCTCATCAGGTCCTAGAGCATTAATAGCTGCAAGCGCAGCCTCAATATTAGCCATAGTGGTGGGGATACGACGCGTTGAGGTTAAGGTGGTTGTAAGGCGCGCGCGCACTTTGTGGTCGCGCGCACTTTGTGGTGGGGCTAGTTAAGCACAGTCCTCACTATAATTCTACCTATAGCAACGAGCCACTGACATGTGCGATAGCATTGCCAGTGACTTGCCAGTCGGGATACAATTGCGTCGCTACTGTCAAGGCACAGCTTGCCTTTGCATGTTGCAACAATGTTGAGTGTCTAAACAACTGGGGCATATGTCGTCAGTACGGCGAAAAAGGCTGCGCGGGCTACGATTTTAACGACGGCGCCTGCTCATCCATCTATGGATCGATACTCCAATGGTTGGTATCCCTATCTTCTTCAAGTCTCTTACAGTTTCTGAAGTTGTCTCCAGTTCAGAAGAAGCGCCCTACTGCTTTCGCTATGCGCTTAGCTCTTCTCGTGGAGCGACAGATACCTACTACTCGTATGGGTGCGCAACGACCTCAGACGACATCCTTTTACTGGATTCAGCAACAAACGCAGAAGTAAAGACGAAACAGGCGGATCCCACACAGCAAGGTGGCGTCGCAAATCCATTATCATCCAGCCCTGTATCGATCCCAGGCGTGGGAACACCCAGCGATCCAACCATCGGGTCTTCTACTCCCTCACAAAGTAGCTCTAGTAAAAGCATCCTAAGTACCACGGCAATTGTCGTCATTGCCTTGGTGGGCGCTGTTATACTTATTGTCGGCCTAGTCGTCGGATGTTGCTGCTGGCGAAGAAAACGCAGACAGCACGCAAATCGCATCCGTCCGAACAATACATATGTGCCGCACTACGAACCTACCGTCACACAAGGGCCTGGGTCGACCTATGAACCTACTGTCATGCAGGGGCCTGGGCCGAGCAGGATACGCTTATGGAATAACAACACGCCTCTCGGTGCATCTCCTGATGTAGACCCGTCCGAAACTGGGAGCCAATGGGGTGGACCAAGCGCGTATACGGAGCGGAGGCCTATGAACACGGTTTATGAACACTAGCATGACACCCATTTCTTACACTCATGTAAACTATATTGCATCTTTGTTTTTTTTTTTCTCTATTATGCGGCATGGAGATTCCGAAGGAGATGGTAATGTAGCATGTTGAAAGCAAGTAGAATAGACATTCTATATATCAAATCTGCACCACTATCACGACGTTGCCAACCAAAGCCCCCTTGTAGCCTCGAGCCTCTTGATTTTATCGCCCTTGAAAGCCACAGTCCAATGCTTGCTTTTCTGGATCAAGCCAGGAAAGTCGCATTTGGCGCGATCGTCTCCCCCGCGCGACAGCCCCGTCTCGTTTACAAAGTTCCACTCGCGGCCACAGACCTGGCGGCACTGACATGGGACCCATTTTGAGAAGCGCTTGAGTATCTCGCGCTGGTTTTTGTCCACGTCCTTTCGTGAGAGCTCCAGAGTCGTCTCGATATGCAGCATGTAGAGCACTGCCATGACAAACGGCTTGCGGTGAATCGACTTGCTCACATGGCTCTTGTCGTGCAGAAGGCGGGACCAGGCCTCGCGGATGTGGTTGGGAGCAGGAGAAGGCCCGGGCCCGAATTGTTTGCTGAATGCTTCGACTATCGGCAAGAGATTAGACAGTGCAAGGGGGGAGACTGGGGGTGTGAGAACAAAGGGACGCTACGCACATGTCACTTTGCCATCTATGGGCTTGCAGTCTTTGAATATGTTTTCGTACACGTAGTACGAGTCTAGCGTGAGATGTTGCCAGTAGGACTCTGCGCCTGGCTTGATGTGCTTGGGGCTTTTGTACAGCGAGTAGAAGAGTTTTGTCTGGGCTGATTCGAGACGGACTCTCGACACTTCAGGTGGTGGTGTGTTTTCTGTTGTTTGGACAAGAAGTCAGCATTTGGGCTACATAAAACGTGTCAAAGTACAGATGTTGGAGTGTCTCTCAGGTGAAGTCTTCAACGGCCGCCAGGGTCAACGCACTCTGCTCATTGCCCGCGGCAGCTATCCAGCGCCTCGCCATCTTGACTGTCTCGGCATCGTTTCCGTACGCCTCCGTCCGCTCCGAAATGAGGCCTTTCTTGCTCGCTTCGTCCAGCAGCACCTCGGAGAGGTCCGGCGGGTTGAAGCGAAAGTAGCCATCGCGATCCGCCAAGTCCATGTGCATGTGGTAAAATGTGTTTGCCGTTCTTTGCGTCTCGGCCGCAATCTTGACAATACTGTTTGCCACTTCGAGAACACTTTCGCCGAATTCCTGCAGTGCAGGCTTTCCCGTTCCAATCGAGACTAGCACGCGGATCTGCTCATCAAATTGGCTTCCAGGCTGGCCGAGTTGCTCTTTTGCCTCGAGGTAGAGCTCCTGGATGGGATTGTTGGAGCCGAGACCTGCATCGACGAAGCAGCGCGGTTCCCCGGCGTGCTTGATCTTCATCGGGGCAAAGAAAGATGTCGCTGCCGAAGTGGCACGCGCAACTTCCCAGATGCGGACTTCGTTGTAGAAGTTGGAGTGCTCGCCGTCTTTCTTGTAATCGGTGAAGCGGATGGGTGTTGCACTTTCTGCTGTAAGTGCGATTACAATACTGCCGTCAGGTTAGCAGGCCAAAAGCATCAGTCATCGGAATGTGCATACGTTTTGCAGGCTGAGCTCTTGGCTCCACGGAATCGATCGTCAGATGTCCCTCCAACATTGGCAATGACCTGCTTGATGGCCTGCTCTAATTTATCTGTCTTGTATTGTGGCTGGACCTTGCCGTTGCGCACTTTGAACGGCAGTTTTTTCTTATCCTTTGGATCGAACACCACGTCCATCAGGCTGATATAGGCTTCGATACACTGGTCAACGGACATCTCGAGTCGCCCGAGCATAACGGCAATTATGCCTCCGGTACTAGTGCCACAGATCATGTCGAAATAGTCGCAAGGTTTAGGACTCCCGACGAAGGATAGAATTTTTCTCAGCATGTAGAGGGATGCCAGACCACGTACGCCTCCGCCATCCAGGCTGAGAAGTCGGAGACTGCCTGGCATCTTTACCAGAAAGCCGAGTGTTTGCGTTGTTGGTATTGTGATATGTATGTCTAGTATAGGAAACGGAAATATGGAAGATGGGACAAATATTGGAGTTGATCTAGCTGGCTGACCAAGGGGAGATGTTTTTTTTAGTTGTGAGCAACTTCTTCAGCCTTGTGTTGAGCGCGCGCCAGAGGCACGAGTTGGTGACTAGCCAGCATCTTATCAAACTGTAGCCTTGAATCTGGCCTGGCGCTCGCTACTCCGCTTCTAATCAGCTTTGGGAGATAGGGTTAGCTCCAAATCCCAAAGTGTGACGACTTGAGTACGAGTCTGCCTATGGCTGCTCGCTGAGCAAGGGGCAGTGCTATCTGTGGCTTGGCTTGGCAGCTGAACTGTTAGAAATCGAACCACTCCACAAGTTCAGCCTTGCCAGGGGCACAAACCCATACTGGATTTTCCATGCTTGACTGAATTATCGTTCCGTTATTGCAGCTTCAGCTGTTTGCTAAGATTAGTCACGTGTTGTAGTTTAGTCACGTGTTGTAGTTTAGTCACGTGTTTCACATAGGGACTTACAGTATGCACAAAACGAAATCGATCAAATCGAGGCGAATCGGCTCCGAGAGGCTCTGCTAAGACATTCGGAATCTCTTTCTTAAGCTAGTCGAGTCAGGCAGCCTCGTCACATAACGAACGTTAGAACGGTCAAAACGGCCAGAGGAGCCAGAATAGCAGCACGGCAGCTAAATCTGCACCCCCTTTTTGGCACAATCATAGGCTATAGGAATACTTATAGCACATCAAGGCTTCTGTGTAATGTTTCTGTCTAGCCTTCGAGCTTAGCCAATAGCCTCATCCTAACATTCTTCCCCAGCTCTTCCCGTGTCTCGCAGATTTCGATTCCATACCTCTCACATACCAGCTGAACATTTCCCCTTTTCCAAAATCCCTTTGGACAGCAGACTACTGCCTTTCCTGTGCCTGCATAGAGTCCCAATTCTAGTAATGTAATTGGCTGTAGCACTTCAGCCTCGCCTGCAAAGTAAAATGCGATCACATCTGCTACGCGCGCGTAATCCATCTCCCACTCGACCTGTTCTCTAAAAGGCTGAAAGGAGATATCCTCGACCCAGGTGTTGTCCCATTCATCCCGACGTGGGTCTAAGATAGCGACAGATAGGTCGGACAGGGAATTTATAAGGTCGCCTTGCCAGTTCTTGTTCTGGCCAGACATGGCTCCGTAGAGAATCACAGACGGTCTGTCTATATCTGGTTTGAAAGGAGGCTTATGAACAATGGCTCTGGCTGCTCTGGATTGAGACATTGTTTTTGGAAGTGTTTATGTTTATGGAGAGATGGGCGGCGCGAAAGCTGCTACTACCCCGCTGCGTTAGTCTAACCTGCATGGACGCGCAATGACCCAGGACGCGCAATGACCCACCCCACCAAACTCAACACCTACACAAAATACCTCATAACTCCACCAATATGGACCCAATTCAGGAAGCGATTGAAGAAATCGAATCGCGCGAACTAGGCGCATCTTTTAGCTATCGCCAAGTTGCAAAAAGGTTTAGCATTAGCTATCGTACGCTCGCTCGAAGACACTAAAGCAAAACTTAGCCTCGCGCGCTCACCCACCTCTCTATCCACCCACAACGCGAAAAGGAGCTTGTACAGTACATTGAATCCCTCACTAAGAGGCGTACACCACCTTCGCGTCCAATAATACGCCATCTTGCGTCATCCTTGCTTAGTAGAGACGTTTTAGAACGCTGGGTTTCTAGGTTCCTCTGCAGGAACTCCTCTTATCTCATCTCTCGCTGGCAGAGTCCTATGGACTAGAAGCGTTACAAGGCTGATTTAGCAACTAAGTATAGGTTGTACTTTAAGCTGTTACACAATAAGATGAAGGAGTACAATATACAGCCCTCTCACATCTTTAATATAGATAAAAAGGGCTTCTTACTTAGAATCCTTAGAAGGTCTAAAAGGATCTTTAGTAAGAGGCAATATAAAAGAGGAGGAGTTGTTTCAAGCCTACAAGATGGCTCTAGAGAGTGGATTACAGTCCTAGCCTGTATCTGCTTAGATGGTACACCTCTTTCTCCATCTCTCATCTTTCAGTCAGATGCTAGAGCTCTAAAATCAGCCTAGGTAGAGGCTATTAATCCAAATAAGCACTCAGTCTTTGTTACCTCATCGCCCTCTAGATAGACTAACAATAATATAGGCCTAGCTTGGCTTAAAGAGGTCTTTAAAAGAGAGACTGCACGCTACGCTCGAACTAGGTACTAGTTACTTATTATTAATGGCCACTTATCTTATGTAACCATGGATTTTCTAGATTATTGCAATAGCCATAGGATTCTAGTTGCTGTATATCCTCCTTATTCGACCTATAGGCTTCAGCCTCTTAACGTTAGGATGTTTAGTGTAACGATGTTACAACTTCGCCAAGTATTGAGCCAATCCCAGAGCCGGATCGGAGGAAGTACCTGCCGCCCTTCATCAGCCATTCGCCCGAGGTCGGATCCGAATTCGGACCCGACTAGGATAGGTATATATTGAGACACTCCCTGTAGCTAGCTCTGTAGACTTTTGATATCCTTTCGTACAAGGCCTATAGGTGGCTTGTTGAATCTAGGTTCTTTGTGATCCCAGCACTCCCATATGCCTCTGAGTG